GTTACAACACGACGTTATGTGGGAAGGACGGAGCGGATATCTAATAACTGTTGGAAATTTTTGGAAGGTATTGAAAAAATAGACTCCATATGTTTCAGTCTCATTTAATGAGTGCTACCGCCACTGGCGTCTGTTTAAATTTCGCGAATTTCAAATGGCCCTATCCATCTCGTCGAGAATAAACCTTTACAGATGAAAGCCTTATTAAGATTTGTTTATTTCAATGCTGCAAAGCACACAAGAGCTACTTGCGTAAGTGATAGATGCTTTCATAGAGAACAAACTATCTCAGGAAACTAAATTCGTATTTATGATTTAAGACGTAGTATAATGAGAATGAAATTTTCGAATAGTAACCGAAATTGCTTTTAAATGAAATTTATTTAGTAATTTCTAAAAACTAGGCAGCTGGCGTTGGAAGTTTTGCGTAATAGGCTGCAGTTAGCAGCGAAAACATCGCAGACGGGAAAACGTCCTTGAGAAAACAACGTAAAGCGAAACGTTATCATGCGAAAGATTTTACTAGGGTGGAGGAACGTAAGGAGTAAACTTTGTACTTTTAAATGTCATAGAAAATAAAGTGTGATAATTTCGCAATTACGGATTTGTAATAGATTGAATGCACAAGTTCGATAAAAAGGTTAATAAAATTTATTCTTTTCACCAGAAATATAACAGAACGCTAAATTTTTCCTGAGAGATATTCATACAATATCATGCAATATAATCAGCAGCTTTACTTTAAATTACTAAAAACGTTAAAATATAACGCAAAGCACAGAGAAAGCTAATCCGATCTTTCGCTGAACTCTAAAGAATAACAACAGAAGCTAACTAAACAACAATTGAGATGAGAGGTATCAAGTATCAACACTTTATTGCTGATATACAACTTCTAGGAGTTTTGATCAGTGTATTAATAATTGCGCCACATCAACATTTGCTTTCAAAAATAAGATGCACTATTTTTAAAGTGCATCATCGTACAGAGGCGCAAATACAAAATTCAATTCATGAGTTTAAACACACTAAGTAATATTAAAAGATAAAATAAAATCACTAAGTCCTTTCAACAGAGATGATGATGAGGGTAGAATACTGCAGTTGAAGAGAATTAAACTAAAATGTTGCATTTGCTAATTTAATAGACTAGAAATCAAAACTAACATTTGAAAAATAGTCTGCTGGGGAAATTCCTATTTCAAGTTTATCCATAATAGATTTGGCAGCTTTGTATTTCGCAAAGAATTCTTTGGCTTTCTGTAAGTGAATTTTTACCCATTCAAAAAAAAGGATAATTCATTTTCTTTGGTATCTTGCTCTTTCTAAACCAGCCGAAAGCGTTTTCTGAGCAATTTTGTTCTTTGGTATTTGGCAAAGAAGGGAATTCTTCTTTTGGTAATGTTAATTTATTTTGGTTTTATGATTTTAAGGATTCTTTTTTGCTTCTTGCAGCTTCAATAGCTTTTTGAATAGTTTTTAGGTGTTTGGTACAACCCTTTGTAGGACGAAACGTGTGCTTCGCCACGTAAGGCACAAGTAGCAGGTATATTTATTATGTTCTTTCTTTTGCATACATGTGTACGTTTCGTGAAATTGTGCACATTTTAGGCATCTAGGTTTATAGTGGCAGAGTTCTCGTACCGCTAGCACTTAATGGCACGCACGGGTCCCGGTCTCGATTTATAAGTTTCAATTGCGACTTCTAAACCTCTGATGGTTCTGACTCTGATGGTAAATTCTTTTCTCTTCTGCGGATCTTTTTAAGTCAACTTGGAAAACTGGAACATTTATTAAATTGCCAACTGAGATGAGATGTTCTCTGTCTGGCTTTTTATAGCTTTAAATAGGTCGCGAGAGATTCTAGAAATTTCTGCTCTCGAGATTTCTGGAAAGCAGCGGTTACAGCTAACATAGTAGTCAATTACATTTATTCAAATTAAATATAAATTATAGAAATAAACTTTATTTCTATAATTTATATTAATTACTATTTAGTGTTGAATGCACTTTTTTTTATATTTATATTTTTTCAGCGTAGCTTTCTCTTAAAATATATCACGCGCTGCATTGCACGGGGTAATAAAATTATTTTAATTATAATTTTACTAAATATATCTAACTAAATACAAAAGTCGTAACAATACGAAAAAGACAAAACATCGGATGGCGAAAAATCTCAGAAATATGGATTATTTATGCGTTTAAAATGTTTGGAATTCTGTGAAACATGTTTTTGTGAGTGTAATTTTATTTTGTCTTATTTTGAATTAAACAAGCCCTGCACTGACTGCTTAGGGTTCCAAAGGATTTTGATCATTTATAGAGGTGGTCATTTTAGAGAGGGAATGTTTAATAGAGATGCTATTCCTTTTTTTTTTTTTTTTTTTTTTTTTCAGAAATTACTCTCAGAATTATTACTCTCACGAAATTACTTTCAGGCCGTGTTAGAGAGTGGTTGCTACGAAAGCGTTCACTGCATTTTAATTGGTGGAGAAACTATAGAATATAGTCTTTTTGCTTTGAATGATAGATGTAATGTCAGTTGTTTAATACGTAATTTGATGTTACTTATAAGAATATTTTAATCTTGCTGTTTGAATAATACATCAATAATTTCAATTTCACGATTTTCATATTTTTAAGTTATTTGGTGATAGTTACAGTTTTATTATTTCTGATCATCTTAGACACATAAGTTGTGCATTCCTGCGATGTTTTCATCGCTGAATGTTTTGCAGATACTTTACTTTCTACCATGATATTTTGTATGACAATGTTTTCATATTGCGAAATGTTGTTGCTACTTTATTTTCTAGACGATATTTTGTAACGCGTTGTTTTAGAACCACGGAGTCCATATTTAGAACTGCGAAATTCCCCCCCCCCTCCTTCTCTGCTTTTTCTTCGACGCTCTTTCCTCGATGATTTTGTGCGACGTTTTATCCCTGTATTTTCTCCGTGACGTTTTCTCTCGTGAGGATTTTGTCTCGATGATTATCTAATAGAAGTTTTAAAAATAATTAATAGGCTTATCAAAATTTATGAATTACTATTAGTAGGCTCCAAAAAGCTCATGTTGAAATCCCGTGAAGTGACTGTTTGTATCGTTTAAAATTTAATTCATATTTTACCAAAAGAAAGCGTAATGGCATTTAAAAAATGTTCTTCGATCTTTCCTTCAATTTCATGATGCAACAGTTGTAAGAAGGATTGTTCGGTATGATGTCTTTAAAAAAAATGACGAGAGGTGTAAATACATTCAACTCTTTTAAATACTTTCACACTAATTTGAAAATACCATTTTGTAAATTACTTTGAAATTCAACAGATGCAATAGGAATACATGATAAATGGCATAAATATAGGCATACATGGAGCATGGATATATAACTCTATTCCAAAACGATGGCTATTTCCTAAGTTTTTTCCACTACCTTTTTCTAAAAGTGTTAGACTGCAAAAGACTGAAAATATTAACTGCAAAAGAAATAATGCACAACAGTGTTGAAAATTGTTACTTTTATTCGCGAACTACGTCTCTTCAGCTGCAACTTAATAAAGGATAGCTAGAACTGTTATTACGTACCAATATAAGCAGAAGAAAATTTTTTAAACAATTTTGTGATTTATTAACTGAGATAAAACTTTTTATCGAAGAAGAAGATCAAATATCTGAAAATTAAAGTGATAAAATTTAGCTTAGTGATTTATCATTTCTTACAGATTTTACATCGAAATTAAATGATTTAAATTTAGAATTGCAAGGAAAAAAACAAGACAGTAATTGGAATGATCAATAGCATTTATGCATACAGATAAAATTTATTATATTAATAATCTTAAGTGTTACAAAGAGAACGTCAACAAAACAATTTTAATCCGTTTCCAAATATGTCCAATCACCTATAAAAAATCTAAATTAAGAGTATAACATAGAATAAAAGTATAACATAGAAAATAAAATTAAAAAAAAAAAAAAAAAAAAAAGAAACCGCGTCTAAATTGGATTCTGGAAGGATCAAAATCTATATGCAATTACAATACTTCTTTTACTTCATAAAAGGAAGGATATATATATAAAATACAGTAAATAATATCTAAAAATAAATAATATAATGCCGAAGAATAAATGGTGTACTTGAGGGATTTTTAGCTCAAAAGCCCTATTAATTTCGTTTTGGCATTTTACGTCTAAAACTTTAAATGTACGTTTCACTTTTCAATTGTTGCCACCAAATATTAGAGCCCTGTGTTATATTTTAAGAAATTAAATAATGAAGAATAAATGCATGCATGTTAAATGTATGCACGCACTGTGATAAAAATAACGGTATCTAGAGCCATCCAATTTTGAATAACGTACGTCTCCACCCAATTATGGACATCTAGAAGCTCTAATTTGGAATTTGGAATTTGTTTTATTATCGATATCATATTTTGTAACTCTTCAACGAGTTTTTGATTAAGAAACTCAGCGATTTCAAAGCGAGCAATGGCAAAACCGTACGAAAAAAAAAAAAAAAAATTTCCAGCGAGCGAGACTGTGTACCGGTAATTCTAGAGACATGCTCATTTTAAAATTATGTTGCGATATTGCTGTTGAATTGAATTTTATGGTCCAAGTGAGAAAAACATAAATAAAGGTAACACACAAAAACGTTAAAAAAACGCCCTTTTGGACGTAATGTAAAATCTGAAAGCTTTCAGATCCCCCCCCCAAGTGAAAATTGATTCTTTAATGAATCAGTTAACCGAACCATAGTGATAATATTCAATGAGGATAATAGAAGCTCTGCAGCATTTTATTCTTTAAGGTTTACAAAGGGTTTTTATTATTATTACTGTTATTACTATTTCAAGGATATGCAAGAGGAGCGCCGGAAACCTGCTCCGCTCTGGCGCCAAAACATTTATCGGCGACCTTGTTCATTTCTATTGGAAACTCACTTCTACTAACAATACCGACACCCAGTTTTACTAAGCGCTTTTCTTTCAGATGGGAAGTTTATTAAAAAACCAGCTTAGACGCGCTTAATGATCACCTCCAGCTTGAAAACACGTGACTGATGACCTTGCACCGCGTGGGTCCACAGCGTCGCTCATCGGAACTCCGGCGTATCCGTAAACAGCAGAAAGCGAGGTGTGTAATATGCAGAACTAAGCTGGAACGCAGTAAATTGAGCTAAAAACCTGGGAAAATAAACAAAAATTAGCTGTGGAAAATCCAAATCCTATGAAAATGAAAGCGATTTTTGCATTTCTGTTACTAATTTTATCACGAGAGATCCTTGCTTTTCCTACTGAAGGTAAGCGATATTCTTATGTATAACAGATATAATAATTAACGTGTCTGAACATGCGTATGTTTTTCCAAGTTTAAAGAATCGGTAGGGACAAAAGTGACAAAGCCAATTTTGCGTTTTTGGCTGGTGTTAAAAATCATGGGATCATTTAGCATCCAATCTTTTGAATAGAATTTTCGTTGCAACACTTATTTTTTATTTGTAAAATGTTTTTATGAAAGATCTCAAGAAGAACGCTGTGTTATCAAATTGTGTATTAAATTTCCGTAACTTTTTAACGATTTCACCTACTGTTTTTGTTATAAATAAAGGACGTAAAATTATTTAAAAAGCATGACTTTTGAAAAAGTTCTGAAATGTAAAACTACTCTAAATTAAACATTAGACTGAAATTGGTATTAGAGAAAAATTTCTTTTGATTTCAAGGGAATTAGTAGCAGTGTTTTTTTAGCCCAAAGGGCGTTAGTCCAGAAGGGCTGTTAATTTCGTTTTGGCATTTTGCGCTGAAAACTTTTAAATATCCATTCCAATTTTCAAATTGTTGCCACCAAATATTATCGCCCTGTGTTACGTTTAAAGAAATTAAATTATGAAGAACCTGCATAAATATGTGAATTTTCTCGTATTGGAATAAAACAACGTTACCTAGAACCATCAAATAACGTATTCCTCAACCGAATATGGATATCTGGAAGCCCTCATTTGGAATTTGTTTTATTATCGATTTCATATTTTATAACACGTAAACGAATTGTCGATTAGCAAACTTAACGATTTAAAAGCGAGCAATGGCAACACTGTACCGAAGGGAAAAAAAAAAAAAAATTATTCCCAGCGCGCGAGACTGTGTATCGGAAATTGTAAAGATATGCTCATTTTAAAATTATTTTGCGATACTGCTGTTGAATTGAATTTTATGGTTTAAGTGGGAAGGACATGATATTTAATAAATAAAGGTAACACACAAAGCGTTAATGAAACGGCCCATTGTGGGGAATGTAAAATCTGAAAGCTTTCAGACTTTTTTAAAGTTTTTTTTTTCCCCCCAAGGGACTAAAATATTGATTTCGAGGGAAAAGTACTCGAAACCCTTTCAAACATAATAATTACAGATATACAAGATGATTGTTTCCAAGAAAAAAAAATTCTACTTACGTGTAAGAACGGTTTTGTTACACAGCAGTTGTTTAATGCACTGAAGTGTGCATTAAACACATGCATATATATAAATAATCAAAAATTATACTTTAGAATAAAACTAATTAAATACGTTTTATTTTAGCGCAAATTTAATGAAAAGTGATAAATTATATTGATGCAGTTTTAGATGTTCGACTACATGTGTTAGATGTATATGCTTTTCCAAAAGACATTTGACTTCGCCTCTATGCTCTAATCAATAACGAAATGTAATATTTAAAAAAAAAGTCTTCACATATTTTAAACAAATATTTGATTTATATAATTTTATAAAAATATTATATATTAAATTTCGTAAACATAAATGAGCATAACTTTTTAAAAGTTTTGGAATACTGAAAGCAGTGTTACTTAAAAAAATTAGTTTGTTACCTCTTGCTTTGAACAGTTTGGATAATATTATTTTCAGCCTAAATTGCTGCTTTGTTTATTCTGCCGGTTTTTATTCATCGATGTTCTCGAATCAGTTCTAATTAAAATTATTTAGATTCTAAAGTATTCTTTCTGTGCTAACAAGGTTTACGTAAACTATCAGATACATTTAAGAGATTGTAGCCATATTTAGAATGCGTTTCCATCAAGTTTTTATTAGAAAATTTTAATATTTCTTGAGGACTATATCATGTATGATAACCGTTTGCATTGGTTTTAGTTTTTAATTTTATCAAATCTGCGTTCTCTTTTTGGAGATTTTTAATTTATTGGGATGTTTTTAAAAATGTTTTTATGTGTAATTTAGTAACATTTGCGGAATATCTTACATATAATGTATCTTCCTGCTGAACTATATTTTAAAGAAATTTGTTAAGTCAAGCACATAATATTAGGCATAAACAAGATATCTTGTTCAAGATCAGATCTTTGGAATAATCTATACTCTATAGTATTAAAATCTGTGCGCATCTATTTGTTTGTTTGTGTCTGGCATCATCTCCTCCGGAATGGCGGGGAGTTGAGTTTCAAGAGAGGTACCCTCTACATTCCAAAAATTCTTGGGAAGACATTTCGGCCATTCGCATCTACGTACGATATTAATCAGCCGAGATGTTAATTAAAAATTCTGAAAGTGCTAATTTTCGCTGTCATTTTTCCGAGTGACAATAGTCTCGTGAGCTCAAGATAGGTTCGAATAAATTAAGAAGTTCGCCAAGTAAATTATTCTTGGCGCAAACTCTAAAAAATGCGCCAAGATAAATTTTTGAGTTTATCCGTAAATTTCGCACCAAATTTTATAAAATTTAATCTTTAGGCATAATTTGAATCACAAAATCGAAATATGGAAAAAACTTGGCATGTCATTTCAGAAAAAGTCCGATTTTGTGTCAAAATATCTATATCAAAACAATGCTATATATAAATCTAATACATATCCTAAGTTGCGCTTTCGAGACATGAAAAACTCAAGTTGAATTTCGTCAATAGGCCTATTAGAACGGGATAATAAAACTGTTCCCCCTTTGGTTTTCGCAGTGTACCTCTACCTATGTCTATATCTGTGTTTATAAAAATAGATTTCTTTGACATATGTAACGATTTCAGGATCAATTAGTTTTAACGTGTTAGTGAAAACTAACGCATTATGATATATAATATTGGGTCATATAAAAAGCCTTCGCGCTTTTTTGCCACTGGATGGTATTGATGCCTATATACCCGATTGTCTCTAATGAACATGTGCTTAAAAGGTGACATTTAGCTTCCATTGTTCGTGAAGATAGTTTTCTAATTTGTTGCTCGTGTCAAAATTTGTATTGATTTGAAAATGAGTGAAATATCTGAAGAAATGCGGTATGTGATGCTTTTTTTACTATAAAAAAAATAACAACGCTTCAAAAAATATGCCGGAATATTTGTGAAGTGTACGGGGAGAATGCTCTGAGTGAGAGAAGGACTCAGCAGTGGTTTGCTTAATTCCATTCCTGAAGTTTCGATGTCGAGATTGGAAGGGAATTGTCCATTATGAACTGCTGCAACCTAGCGAAACCATCAATTCGGCCCTGCACGCGTCGACTTGGTTAAGTCACTTGTACAGGTCACTTGTCTGGTCGACTTGGTCACTTGGTTAAGTTTTTCGACGATAAACCACAGAAGTTTTATACCGATGGAATTATGCAGCTACCCGAAAAATGGCCAAAGGTCCTAGATAATAATGATCAATATGTAGTTGATTAAAATTGATTTTCAATTAAGAAAATTTTTGTTGAAAAATGTACCTAAAAAGCGCGGAGACTTTTTATATGACCCAAATACATAAAAATAAATTATCAGTTGGTTCTTTCTTATGCTGGTGCTGACATGGGATCGAAGACGTTTATTTCAAAATTTTTACCATTTTGATTGTTGAGAAGATCGTAAACTTTTGTCGATTTTTATTAGGGATTTAATATTCTAATTTTCAAATTACCACAGAGATTTAAAAGGATTTGAGATTCAAAATTCAAATCTTTGTCCTTTTTCGTCACTCGAACCGCTCATATCTTAACCCATAAAAATGTTAAACATTTTAATTCAAAACTTTGGAAAGATTAATTTTAGTGACCCTTATTAGAAGCATTGTTTAAAGAAAGAATGCGATTGCTGTTTATTTTAGTGGAACTGGATCTCCATTAACCGCCACCGGGCGGCCCTGTGTGCAATACTTTAAATTTTCTGTTCCTTTATAATGGTAATTTGAAAATTGTTTTGAAGTTTTATTACTACCAAAAGACGGAAAACGTCTTCCGTCGAAATTACTTTCAAGTTAAGAAGATCGTAATTGTTTTGGCTTATTTGATAACATAATGCACGCGAGGGATGTCAGCCTAAAGATAGGAATGTCTTCGTGAAAGCCTATATAAGGGAAAGTAATTCGTATCCACGCTATACATAGACAGAACTACGAAAACAAAAATGCTGGCTTAATATCGAACAAAAGCTTTCATGTTACAAGAAACAAATTATTTCACTAAATCATACATTATATGCCCAATGCATAAATATTTTCAGTTTTAAATTTTTATAAAAGTTCTTAACACAAATAAAAAATTACAAAAGATACATTTCAATGTATGTGTACTATATGGCAAAACCCACTAGTGTGCTTTGCCATAATTAAATATCTATCTGCCTAAAGGCCTAATAATTAAATATATATCTGCCTAAAGGCCTAATAATTAAATATCTATCTGCCATTTAGGGCTATCGGCCTAAAGGGAGGGATGCTTTCGTGGAGGACTTTCTAAGGCTCGTAAAGACACGATAAACATGGGGAAAACCACGAAAATAAGGTCGGAAGGAAGAATTTTTCTTTTTAATGCTCTTTTTCATTCCGGCGTGCAACTCTTATCTGCGTTTTGTTACTCACTTAAATTTTCATTTTACTAACCATTGACTGTGTGCCAACCTTCTGAAAGAATAATCAACTGACTGATTAATTGATTTTTAGCCCGAAAGGAGGGTAGCCCAGAAGAGCTATTAAATAGCCCTTCTAGGCTATGTCTGTATGTCTCAAAATGACATTTTATGGCGTTTCACTATAAACGGTGAATCACTTTTTAAAAAATGGCCACCAAATATTATTGTCCTGTATTATATTTAAAGAAATTAAGTAGTGAAGAATCTGCATGGATGTATCGGTATTTCTCGCACAATAAAAAATAGACGGTACCTAGAGCACTCAAATTTTGAATAACGTAATCCTCCATCCGAATATGGGCACCCGAAAATCCGAATTTTGAATTTCGAATTTGTTTTATTATATATTTCATATTTTATAAAACTTAAGCGAATTTCTATTTAACAAACTCAATGATTTTAGAGCCAGC